ATAATTCGTTGATTAAATACATTTTTTATAAATGCAAACTATGCAGTTAGTGGTGGTGTCACAATTTCTAAAGTGACCAAGAAGTTTAGGGTGACATACTTAAGATATCGGTCATTGGTGTTTCTTTTTTCTTAGTTGTTTAGCTTGTTTAATGGTAAAAGTGTGTTATGATATAGTTTCCGTTCGTAATATGAAGACATACATAGTTCCAAATGTTTCGCTTCTTTAGTGGTATAGATTTCTTTTGAAATGACCTTGAAGTAAAAATGGGTTATGGGTTCTGTTAATGGGTGAACAACATACAATGTTTAAAATTTATAGTTTTTTAGATAATCCTATTTGTTTACCCCACACAACTATTTTGTAATGGTATTGTGCCAAGAGTTTGTAACGCCGCGAAATATCGGTCTCAGATCCACCTCTCTTGACAAGGCCACAGTTATGCACCAATCGCCATATAATTGTGCATGCAGGTTCGGGCCAAAGAACCCCTCTATTTATCGGATAAAATAGGCCAACATTTTAATTTTGTATTTTTTCACTGATTGCTCTTCAGACTACAATTATGACCTGAACATATTTAGCGGGTCAAATTAACGCAAATTGGTTTTCTATAAATTGGACCAAAAGTTTATTTGGTTGAAAAGGTGATTATGTCAGCAGTAGTTCTATGCTGGCAGCCCAAGTCCACACTGCCGTATCAATAAATTTTGTTTAAATGAAAGTTTGCGTTAAAGTCCTCTATCCAAAGCCTATTTGTTATATCTGGAATTTTAACTGCTGCACATGAATGATTAAGAAAAACAGAATGCATTAAATTAAAAATTTGTATACCAATGTTCAAGTAAGCGTGGGGGGAGGTGGTGTGTTAAGAGCTATGCTTACTTTTGATGACAAGGGGGAGGGAGGAATAAATCGGTCGTACGAATTGTGAGCCTAGAAACTATATTTTTTTCACACAAAAAAATTATTTTTGGACACAATGAAATCCTGTATACGTTCCTGATGGGAGTTATATCTAAAGCTGAGCCCATTTTCTGTGCCAAATTGCATATCATTCGGATCATAAATTGACAAACAGACGGACTGATGGACATGCCTAAATAGACTCGGAAAATGATTATCCAAAGTAACCATTGTCTATATCGATTCTTTTGTATGTTTTATGCAATTTTAAAGAATTTTACACGATTTATGAAATTTAACACACACCATTCTAGACTCAATTTGGCACGCTATGCTAATTTTCGTCTTATTCGGAACATTGGAACACAAGATGCAAAATTAAAAAATGCAGTATAACTTTTTTCTAATATCATGTTGGGGTTTCCTGTGTTAAATCAGGTACTTTATTTACTTAAAAAAATATTAAGGGGACCCCCATTCTCGGTTTTAAAAAATTTAATTTTGTATTTAATTTAATTCGAACCTACACTAATTCAAGAATGTTCCCATAACATTTCATGTGAAAATTTTGAAGAGAAACCCGATAGGTGACGCATGAAGGCTTCTCAAACTTGAATAGCGTTTTCCTTCAAACAGCGTTCAACTAATAACAGAACCGATTTCAATTTTTGGGACGTTTCTCTGTAAGTGTATAGCTATCGTATGAACTAGTATAACTCTAATCGGTGAAGATCTTCCTTATTGTTTAAATTGATTTGTGGACAAAAAAGGCGATTTTCTAAAATGTTTTTCAAAGTTCCGCTATTTTGTTAAAATTTTTGTTCCCTTTATGCAAACTTCATTATTTTTTAAATTTTTGCTTGGACAAAACTGTGGTACAGGGTACCACAGTGTGTTGAAGGACCTTTCCTTTTGAGAATATGCATAAAACAACTTTCTATGTCGATTTATGCATGTCCGTCCGTCCGCCTGTTGATGTTAAATTGTAAACAGAGTACAGGTCGCATATATGATCCGAATTGGATGAAAATTGGCATAGGTCACTTGTACGGCACAAGGAATTAGATATACTTCCCATATATATTTTCGTCGGATTTTAAGTAAATGGTGTACCGAAGTGTCTATATATCTTTCGATTCGCACGAAATTTGACATAGCGTACTGAATTAGGTCTAGAATGCAGTGTATTAAGTTTCCTGAAAATCGGTTCAGATTCCGATATATGTGTGTCAAGCAGTGTTGCCAAAACATTGTTTAAAAAAAAAATGCTAGATTTTGTTTCCAAAAGTGATAGAAAGTGCTAAAAATTTTTAAAAAGTGCTAAAAATGTTTTAAGAGGAATTAGCAGATTGGCTGTTATTTTCATATTTTTGATTCTCATTAGGTAAAAAGTTCCCTACCGAAAATTATCAATGTGGGTCTAAGTTTCGTGATAGGCCCCAGAGAACGAAATTTAAGGGCGTCGGGCTCCGTCATCATCAAATTGACTATAATTTAAAACTTTTTATTTGAATGGTGTGCCAAATTTGCCCACTAATAAAATTGTCAAGGTGAAGGTTTGCACATAGAGGTTCCATCCTATTTGCCCCTTTTAAGATTTAGAACCTTTCCACGCCGAAGTGGCTGTGATGTAGGTCCTATTTTGATATAAATCCATTATATAGTGGGACGCAACCCATTTTCGAGTGGCTAAATCTGACATTTCGGATTCCTAGTGAAAAAAATTCTTTCCTGAATGTTTCAGATTAGGTTCGTGATTTGTACATGGCTCCATACAAAGGCCCTCTTAATTTGACTTTTCATTTTACCAAATAAACAACCTACCAGCATGCGATTATGAATCCTGTGGGTTTTATATGATTCCCGCCTAACGGCCAGCGCCCCTTTGGGGAAGCTCAGAGTACTCAATGAGCACTCTGAAGCCAATCCGCCGATATCAATTCGAGGGTCCGCTGCAAAGCTTCACTTCCTCCTTGGTGAGGAGTCGACGCTTTTTTTTTGGTCAAGCACCCGATTGATGACGCAACTCCACATCGAGCTGAAGCCCTTCCAACGAAAAATGATATATCAGCCAAATGTAGTACCCAACCATTTTTTTAGAAATTTTTAATACACTCCACATGGTGCAGGGTATACGGAGTTCTGATCGGCCGAACTTTAAGATTTTTACTTGTTTACAGATGTCCTGACATTTGTTAACATTTGAAAATCAAACTCATACCGTGAAAATTTAATGCGTCAATAGAAGTACTATTCCGATTTCATGTAAATGGTGCCCCAAAAAACCCTATATATCTTTCGATTTGCACGAAATTTGGCATAACGTGCTGAATTGAGCCTAGAATGATGCCTGCCATGTTTCGTGAAAATAGGTCCAGATTTAGATATAGCTCCCTTATATAGTTTCGCCCGATTTCATGTAAATGGTGCACCAAAGTCCCTATATATCTTTCGATTTGCACGAAATTTGGCATTACGTACTGAATTGAGCCTAGAATGATGCCTGTTAAGTTTCGTGAAAATCAGTCCAGATTTAGATATAGCTCCCATATATAGTTTCGTCCGATTTCATGTAAATGGTGCCCCCAATGTCCCTATATATCATTCGATTTGCAGGAAATTTGGCATAACGTACTTAATTGAGCCACGAATGATGTCTTCCAAGTTTCATGAAAATCGGTCCTGATTTAGATATAGCTCCCATATATAGTTTCCCCCGATTTCATGTAAATGGTGCACCAAAGTCGCTATATATCTTTAGATTTGCACGAAATTTGGCATAACGTATTGAATTGAGCTTAGAATGATGCCTGTCAAGTTTCGTGAAAATCGGTCCAGATTTAGATATAGCTCCCATATATAGGTTCGTCCGATTTCATGTAAATGGTGCACCAAAGTCCCTATATATCTTTCGATTTGCACGAAATTTGGCATTACGAACTGAATTAAGCCTACAGTAATATCTACCAAGTTTCAAGAGAATCGGTCCAGATTTAGATATAGCTCCCATATATAGTTTCGTCCGATTTCATGTAAATGGTGCCCCAATGTCCCTATATATCCTTCGATTTGCAGGAAATTTGGCATAACGTACTGAATTGAGCCTAGAGTGATGTTTGCCTTGTTTCGTGAAAATCGGTCCAGATTTAGATATAGCTCCCTTTTATTATAGATGGATTTTAAGTAATTGACGCACCAAGGAACCAATAGGCTGATAGGAACAAAACGTTCTGAAATTAGTATAACCTTACCTGTGACAAGTTTGTTTGAAATCGCTTAGTATTTGGATATAGCTTCCATATATATTTTCGCCCTATTTCAAGTAAATTGGGCATCAATCTCCTCATGTTAGTCAGATCAAATGTTGCACAACGTACAAAATTGAGCATAGAATTACGTAGTTGCGTTTTCTAGAAGTACAGACATAGCCCAACGGATGACCTATTTATATTTGTTTGAAGTCGATTTACATACTTTATGGATAGATCTAAGTTGATGCACATTTAGATAAATATCACATATTTTATTTCATCCAATTTCATGTTAAAAGTCCTGTTTAATATACCCATAGTGGTGAAGGGTATCATAAAGTCGGCCCCGTCCGACTTTACTACTTTCCTTACTGGTTTTTATTTTCTCTCTTTGGATTTAGAGGATGAGTACAATGTGGCATTAATAAGGAACTTAGTTTGGAATTCCATATTTTTACGAGATTTGTGAAATATGCATCGGATTGTTTATACAAATGTGTTGGAAAACAATTTGGTTCACTCCGCTTTAGAATATATAGCGCTTGTTTGGGTGTTTTAGGTTGTCAATAACCTTAAACATATCAAAGATTGGTTGCGGAAGTCAATCAAATCTGAGTTTTATAAAGGTTCAGTTTTAAAGATGAGATGCGAATGAACTCTATGTGATGATGAACGACTGAATGATATACCTACCTCCTATCTCTTACCTTTCAGTTCGTTATATGTTCCCAATATGAGGATACCATTCTTATAAAAACACACACACAAGTAAATGCTTTAAAATAATTTATTAATAGTAGTTATCAATTCCATTTTATTGTTCACATCAAAATCATTCATAGTCTAATAATATGGACGGAAATTGTATTGGGGTGCGGCATATACAGGATAATTGTGGGAATACGAACCAGCATTACCATAGGCAGCGGCTTGGGAACACGGAGCTGGAGTCAAACTTGGTTGGCAGCTGAATAAATAGTTTTTGGGGCATGGTGGTGCTGGAATGGTGACTGGAGCAGGTGCTGGTGGAGCAGCTGGGGCACTATATTGAGGTGCAGCAGGAGCATTGTATGCAGCAGCACCGGCAGCAGCAGCGGCGGCACCATACGAAGATGATGAAGGACCAGCACCATAAGACCGTTCTTGTCTAACATTGTAGAGGGGAACAAGTGGTAGATTGTAACCGAAGTTACCAGTTGGAGATCTTTCCTCACGAACATTATAGGTGGGTGCCAAATGACCGGCCAAGTTCAATCCTTGAGTACCCCCCAAAAGGCTGCCACCAACATTGCCACCGCTTGATCTTTCTTCGCGAACATTGTAGGTTGGGGCCACAGGAGCACTGAACGTGGAAACACCCGAATTGGTGCCAGTAGTAGATCTTTCATCACGTACATTATAGGTGGATGTTGATGCTCCATTGAATGCTGTTCCATGAGTATTGGCACCATTGTATGCTGTAACTACGGGAGTACCACCAGATGACCTCTCTTCACGAACATTGTAGGTGGGAGCAACACCCGCGTTGTAAGTGTTACCAACAGGTGCGGTATTACCCGATGATCTTTCCTCACGAACATTGTATTTGGGCACCACGCCAGCACCATTGAAAGTAGTTCCGGTGACTCCACTCTGACCCGATGATCTTTCTTCACGAACAGGATTTTCATCGGCACGGATTGCGGCTGCCAAACAGGCCAATACGATGGCAATGCAAACAAACGATTTCATGGTGAACTCGGAGTGTTGATGTTATCTTCAATTAAAAAATGTCAAATTGAAACTGAATACTCTACACTGCCATTCGTTGGTTTTATACAATCGAAAAAATGGTAAAATTGTTAGCGTTGCATATTTTAGCGTAACTGGGTTAACTGTCCGGTATTCAATCAAAGACGTACAAGTCGGCAAAAAATTACAAAATTAATTGGGTCGAAAATGCGGAATTAATAGTTGTTATTTTTTCTGTCTTTCCGTTTATTGGTATTATTGTTAACTAGGTCTCTATTTATTTGTCAGCCAAATTAAATGTTAAAGAACATATTCGATTATTCATATACGAATAAGTTGAGCAAAAGTAAATATTGACAAAATTTTTACAAGGAAGTGAGGGTTGGAACTAATATCAAATATTGAAGGACTTGAAATTATGTTTGGGATTTCTATTTTATGAGCGTACCAAAGAGAAGAAAAAATGCCTTAGGAGTTTGGGTATTAATTTGACGCATGCTATCCGATATGGCTTTTACTACATGTCTTGGTCCCATATATATTTACACTTAAACAACAAAAATTCGAATCTTGAATAATTTTTTTTTAAATTTTTTTTTAATTCAAATAGGAAAATTTGGACCAATGCACCGAGAACTCTGCGTTCTGCAAATGGTGCCTGACACCAATTTTTTGAAGCCGTTGATACCATTCGTGCCTTTGGCAACCGGCTAATTCGGATGCGATTTCCTTTTATGCCGGATGCCACAGAAGATTTGGTCCTGAATTTTTTGACCAAAGTCGCGTAATGTGTTCCGGTCTTATGTCCGTTTTCAATGTGCAAGAGTGACATATGGACGGGCCATGTTAGAAAATGACACGTGGGCCATATATAATGGCCACATACAAGATTATTATGAATGATGTCCTTCGTTTAAACTTAGATATAAATATCGAAACCATGTAATTTAGGCAATTGTTGATGGCAAAATAAATGAATTCTAGGCACATGGATACATAGAGCCGACGCACATCTCTTATAGTTCCGCGATTACATTGGCCAATATAAATAATGATGCGAGGGTTGGAAGTCATGCCGTTTGGCTTTAATTCTGTTCCTGCTACAGAGAGTACTAAACCGTATAAGTGGATTGACGTATGTTTATTTTATTAATCTTAAAAAATCCTGGAAGTATTTCGACGGTTGCGTGAAGTTTGGCTTTGCATCAACTCCGTCAAGAATGAATTCTTTAAGAATGAAACCAAATACTTGGGCTATGTAGTCAGTGCATCCTGGTTACACATGGATCCTAATAAGGTAATAGTCATCCAAGAGATTACCACGCACGAAACTTTGAAAGAGCTATGCCGGATTCGGGGTATGGGCGGTTTGTAGTAGATTTCGTTACGTTTCACATCGCTTCTGAAATATTTACGCTGTCACGGCACCCTCCCTACAGCGCTCTGTTGAGGATTTGTTGTTTATGACTAAGGAATGATTGTGGTTTAATGATAAGATCGAGGTAGTCAGGACACCGTCACATTAAAAAAACTGTTATTGACGACCTGTCATGGAAGGGATGCGTTGAATACTATCAGGAGCTCCACGAGAATCGTAGCCAGTCTGCTGATGGTCACTTATGAAATGTGACTGGATTACATCTGTCCGTTCGTTCGTTCGTTCTCTTGAAGGAAGTAACCGATTTTATCCAAACTTTGCACATCATAATATTTTTGCCAAACTTAGTTCAAGTTCGAATATGGAGAATATCGGTCCACTCCTTCTGGTACCTCCCCCACAAAACGGACAAAATTGTGCTAAAAAATTAATTTCATATTATCATGCGAACAATCCGATTTAAACCAAACTGTGTACAACCTATTATCTTTACCAAGCTTATAGCAAGTCCGATGATGGGACCCATTGGTCCCCTCCTTCGGATACCCCCCAACAAAGGATACAAAATTTTAATATTTATGAATCCAATATCAGACGAATGGAATATCCGATTTGAACCAAACTTTGTACAACCTATTATATTTACAAAGCCTAGGTCAAGTTCGAAGATGGGACCAATACCAGGCGAATGGAATTTTCAACAAAACTTTGCATAACCTAGTATCCTTACCGAACCTAGATCAAGTCCGAAGATGGGACCCATTGGTTCACTTCTTCTGTTGTCTCCCCCAAAAAAGATCAACATTTTCAATATATTTTTTTCAATCAAAAAAGAAAAACAATAAAAAAGGCGTTAGTTCGACCGGGCCGAACATTGGAAAATATAGGGATCATATCAAAATGTGTACATATAACGGGGATTTTTTCTAGAATCTGAAACTCCAAAACTTGGACCGCGGACCGATATTGATAACGCATGGTAGAGTGGGACATGAGCAATTTAGAGGGCAAAGATATATGAGGTTATGTCTAAACGGGACCTATATTGATTAGGAATTAGCGAATATTTGGGGTTATCATAAAATGAAGAGCTATGTCTAATTAATGACCGATATATGCCAATTTCGAACCCAATATTTTCGTATCTCAATACTTTCCTTCAGGAGGTATCATTATATTGGGGAGATACCTAAATGGCAGTCGATATATTCCATTATCGTCAGGTTTGAGTCTTTTATCACGATATCCTTAGAAGGCGAAATGATTACAACAGATGGCTAAATCGTCTTCGAATTCCACACTTTGAAGGGTAAGAACTGACAATTTCGGGTAACGAATATCCGCCATACTATGGTAGAATACGCCTATATGGGGAAAACCCCAACACACGGAACAAATTAGATAAGTATTTTAATATTAACCAGCAAAGAAAGTTCAAAAGTCGGACCGGGCCGACTAAATGATACCCTTGACCACTTTGGGTGCATAAAAAATATGCTCATATGTACAATATTATTTAGATAGAATAGGCATAGCTTCTTTAGAGGACCATTGAAATGGAATCGGACGAAATTAACTGCGTGAAGTACATAGATATTTGAACTTAATTAAACAACCCATACACAAACCAATCTGAAATTTATGAAAAAATTAATTTCAATCATCGAGCAAAATATTTATAAGATCTATATTTAAATGTACTAATTGGAGCAACCATGGCATCCACCATTTGGTGTGCTGCAACACAGAGCGCTATCCAAAATTTATCTCGACACAAAATCCAATACACCTTATTGTAAGTTCGATTTGGTACGTTGTGCACTAATTCGTCCTAAGCGGACAAACTTAAATTATTAGCTACATCATCTTGATGAAATCGGATGAAAATATATATGGAAACAATATCTAAACCTGAAACGTCTTCAATCCAATAAACTATGCAATATTTAATGTAAAGTGAACATACATAGTCTTCTCCATTTGCCCCATTTTCATAAAATCGGACAAAAATATATGAGGGAGCTACATCTACATATGAACCGATTGCAACAGCAACATATGGTGCAAATAGAACAGGATTTACGGTGCCCCATTTACATAAAATAGGACTAAAGTATATATCGACGCCTCCGAACCATAGTATGCTAAGTCGACTTAGCATGTTTTAAAGTTCTTTACGTTATTAGATACTATGGTCCTTAATTTATATTCTCTGAAATTTTGGTAATCATCGGCCACTCCAAACCAAAGTTATAAGCAAAAATGTACTTAGCATTGCACGTAAAAATAAAGAAACTTCCATACTTTGAAAGCTTCTATTGAAAAACTCACTTTTCAGACTTAGCATACTATGGTTCGGAGGCGTCGATATGTGAGCTATATTTAAATCTGAACCGATTTCAACCTTAACCCAAGCATGCTAGACTAAAATCTATACGTGCTGCTAAATTTCGTGAATATAGAACGAAAATAGATTCCTCGGTGCGCCATTTACATATAATCGGACGAAACTATATATGCAGCTATATCTAAATCTGAACCGATTTAAACAAAACTTCGCATGGTGTAATCAACGCCTAATTCGGTACTCTTTGCAAAATTTTGTCTCAAACAGACCAATTTTGGCAGTATGGAGCTCCATTTACATAAAATCGGACGAAACTATATATGGGAGCTAAATATAAACCTGAACCCATTTCAACTAAACTTGACACACATCAATCTAGACCTAATTATGTACGCTGTGCAAAATTTTGTCTCAATCGGACCAATATTGACATAAAATCGAACGAAACTATATCTAAATCTGAACCAATTTTCTACAATTTCAATAGAGTTCCTCCTTGTACCAAATAACTGATATGTCATCGAAATCGGATCATAAATGCGATCTGTACTTTGTTCACAAAAATACATGGGCGGACGGACAGACAGACATGCATCGATCGACTCAGAAAGCAATTCTGATTCATATTCTCGAAAGGAACCATGGGTCTATCTCCATTCCTTTTGTCTGTTACAAACATAAGACATATTACCTTGTACCACAGTGAGGTGACGGGTATAAAAAGGAGTTATATCCCTAAAAGTGGGCGAATATTAATAATTTTGGTAGGGAGATTTGCTACCACATACGACTACAAAATACCAAATTAGAGCGAATTCGGCTGGAAAACGCGCTCAAGAACCTCAAAGTACAGAAAATTTTAGGGTACCCGTATATGGGGGCTACCCGAAAAAGTGGTACTATATTTATAATTTTTGGTGGAGAGATTTGCCACCCAATAAGAACTGAAAGTACTAAACTACAGCCAATTCATTCATAAATACGGTCAAAACCCCCTCCCTCTCTCCACCAAACAAAATACTGTAAATTGGGGGTTACCAGAAATCAATTGGCCTATATTTATAATTTTAGTGGGGGAATTTGGTGCCCAATAATATACAAAAGTTCAGAGAATTCGGTTGAAAAACGCGCTCTGAAACCCTAAAATACCGAAAATTGGGGTTTACCCTTATATGGGAGCTATGCCTAAACGTGGACCGATATAGCCCATCTTCGAACTTGTCCTGCCAGCAAATAAAAGACGCCTGTATGCAACATTTTGGCGATCTATCTCAA